TTACAGGTTGGCTGATTTAACAGAAAGTTAATCATATATTGCCTGCTGCAACGCTGTTTCTCCATTATCATTCCAAAGGGAGAACTTCGCCCTGTGTGTCGCTAGGAGTCTGAGATATCAGGATCCTCTCGAGACCAATGTATACGCACTACTCGACTTGTGTAATAATCCTCAGTCATTGAGAGAGAAAACTTTTCGAAAGGATTTATCTGAGTAATATTTTTTTTATTGAAACATTTTTTGCAATTTGATAAACAAAAGAAGCAAAAAATCAATTCAGTGATTTTATTTTGACTATTTAAAATGGCAAAAATACAGGACAGTTAATTTTTTTCTATGCAAGACCTGCAACATAGTCAGTATTTATAGTTTTCATGTAGCGTCACACACTCAAAACAAGGTTTTCCTCCGTTGTCCGCCAGTTAAATTGAGCAGGTTTGTACTGAGTACTAATGCAGTAAGACCTACTTCTGTATACACCTTATTAATGATGCATACTATGTACAATCAAGCAGATACACCCAGAATATAAACACAACACACTGTTTCTCGTCACACATTTTTCACAGAAAACCATTATCAGTCCCTCCAGGATTTCACGATTTTTTTTTTGTGATTTTTGCGATCAAAATGACTGATTTTGTGGTGGTAATTTCCAAAAATTTGTGAAAAAATTTGCGATTTTTATATAACATTTACCATAATAGTATTCAGTCCTTCCAGAAAAACGCAGAGTTTTTTTGTGATTGTTGCGGGCAAAAATTGATGGATTATGCGGTAAACTACTGGCAGCTGTGGTTGCCAGCATCATACCGTAAATTTATGCAATTTTATGCGATGAAATTGTAGGAATTAGCAAAAATTGAGGGAACTTGCAAAAATTGCAGTTTGATGAAAAAGAGAAAAAAAAGTGATTCCCCCATAGGGGTGGCACGGTTCACAAAACCCACGGTTCGGTTTGTATCACGGTTTTAGGGTCACGGTTTTCGGTTTTGTACGGTTCTTGTTATTTTTCCTTTTAATCTTTAACACTCCAGAAATGTACTTCAGCATGTGATATATAGCTTAATTATCCACACTTTAGGATACAGTATTAAAAATATATATATTATATTCATGCAATTATGCACAAACTGAATTTGACTCTTTGACTTTAAGCACATTTTGGGACTATCTCAGAGGAAAGCTAGGTGAGATTTAGATACAGCAAGAGAGAAGAAATTGACATGCTTTTTGTTTATTTGGCAAAAAAAAGGAAAATGTGTATCACTATCATACAAGAACTTGTGCATTTTTATCACATAAATCTTATTTACACAAAGATATTAACTTTCATGTATCAACTGCTAACTTTTGTAGCTCTTACCAAAATTCTATCTTTTAAAAGCAAAAGAGAGCAACTCTTAAAACACTGTCTTTTAAATGTCAATATACATGAAACCTCATTGCCTATAGATAATTAAGCTATAGCAATAGCAAAGGCCATAAACATAAAGTGAAATTTAAGTTCAACCTCAACACAAAAACAGTATCAACAATGCTTCTATTCCCAAAATGTGAGGGTACTTTTTTCCACTTAAAATTAAAGTGCAGGGTTTGGAAACGTATGACTGAAGCTCTTATCTATACATAAACTGCCACTGTAGTTGCGCGTCCTCCAACTCCCTCATCTCTCCCACTTGCCATTTCTCCGCGTGCCGTGACCTGCAGCGCTCCATACTCCACTTTTACTGGCTTGTTTATTAACTTGAACCGGCGCTGCACAGAGCGATCGGTAATGACATCAAATACCGCGAAAGTGATGAATGCATACGGAGCCGACTCGCGCTAGACTGATGTTATTCACCGATCGCTCTGTGCAGCGCCGGTCCAAGTCGAACAAGTTTATGTCGCGCGAAAAGAAAACACACGTCACATACGGGCACGAGGTTACATTGCGCATGCGTCGAACCGTGAGACGCACACGCGCTCCGAACCGAGACAAGCGAACCGAACGGTTCGGGTGTTTTTTCATGTACCGTGCCACCCCTATTCCCCCAACATCCTGTTCTCACTAGGCTAATGTAAGAGTCATTTCTTATTACTTCCTTTGATAAGCAAGCATACTACATCATAGAAAGTGCTGGGAATATTTAATATTGTTTTATTTCAGACTGTAACGAGTGTAAATAAGGTGTGGCCCCTTTAAGAGCTGCGCGGTCCCTGTTGAACTGTCTGCAGTGTTATATGTGCGCCTCGAACACCCCATGTGTGCGGGTAATTTCTGTTTGATGCTACGTCTTATATCTTATGTTGTTTATTAAGTAACGATGTGACGGTAGAACGTGTGACAGACAGTTATACGAGTTCGATTTGTGATGTCAATCGCCTCCGCGAGTCTGTCTGGCGTCGCGTAATTGCGTCACTTCATAACGTTCCCATGGAAACAGGGGGAAATGGCTGCTCTTGTGTGAAGCAAACGCAACATTTTTCAACTTTCTGCTAAGATGCATGTAACTTTTTTTGCAACGAAAATGCGAGGATTATGAAATTGCAAACCCCGCATATTTTGCACAGAAATCTGCAATTTATGCGGCGAAAGTGCGGCGTATTTGAAAAAATGCGGCCCCCGCATAAATATGCGGACTTTGGCTGATTTTGCATTGAATACAGCGATCGCATAACCTCGTTTTTCTGGAGGGACTGCATTATAAAGAAACTCAAGAGCACATTCTGGGCTCATCTGCTTGCCAATATGCATCATCAAAAAGGTTTATATGGACTATGATCTGTAAATATCACTGTTTTAGTACTTTAAGTCTCTTTAAGTGTTTTTTCACACATATTTTATAATGTCCTGCAGTTTTAGGGATTGAAAAAACGCATATGGCGCACAATTGGCTCACCCATAGATATCTATATAAAGGCTAGATATCTCGTCTGCGCTGCTGGCCAATGGAGGTCGACGTCAGCATCTGGCGGCCATCTTGTCACAGGCAGCTCGCTCACTGGTAACGTTGTTTTAATGGTGCATGTACTTTTTAAATCACCGTAACTTGCTCAATTTTCTACCGATTTTCAAACGGTTTGGTTTGTTATAAACGGCAGAGATGTAGTTATGATGCTGCATACTTATGAATAATAAGTGTATAAATTAGGGATGCACCGAATATTCGGCCACCGAAAATTTTCGGCCGAAAATGGCCCAAAAGTGCATTTTCGGTTTTCGGCCGAAAGACTTTTATCACCGAAACAATACGGCCGAAATGTTGTGATGACGCAAACAGAAACCGCGACCTGCACGTGCTTGTCTGAAGCAACATGTTTGCGGTGCGGACGTATTTCAGTGAATCTAAACCCGCGAGGAGACGGAAGCCTTGTTTATCCACCTATATCTGCTCCAAACAATGCGCGCCGCCATGACAACGACTCCGGATGCGAGCGGGTCAAGTGGAGACTCACGCTGCGGAGGCAGGCGAAAGTATGCGCGAGTCTCCTCAGACAGCGCGCGCACCGCTCCAAACGGTCGAGGCGTTTATACTGGACCCGCTCTCCGTTGTACTATTCCTTGAAACGACAGGGGACGACTCAAGTAACTGTCCTCTAACCATTAGAAATCGGTGAGAAGAAGAAAGATAAACACATGACAATGTTTATTTTTTAGTATTCCACCACCAATACAAAAATAATCATGTAAAACCCAGTAAACCCTGAGATTATTACTTGTGACATTACAAAAAAATATATAGAGGAACATGTATGTATAGAACTAAATGCTCTCTTAAATATTTTCTACATTCACTAAACATGTTTTGTTAAGTTTCATGTACATTTGTATTAATCATGGACCTTTGTTAATTTAAAAAGGTTTTTTATGCTATTGTATGCTATTTTTTTTAAATGTAAGAAACTAATTTGGACGTGCAAAGGGTGCTGGTGTGATGAGAAGAAGTTCGCACTCGGCTTTGTTTTTATGAGAGAACATTTAATTTTAAAACCTTTCTGCAGGCCATTAGATTATTATTTAATGTACACATGAGTGGGGTCAAAAACATTTTAGTTTGAATTTTATTTTATACTGTGCATTGTGCTAAATAAATATTTTCATAATTTGTAATTGATTTATTCTTTGAAAATTTTATATTAATTTATGCAATTGCAATGCCTTGATTTTAGTAACATTTGTACACAGTCATAGCCATAAATGCAATGATACTGATAATTGGCATAATTTCTTTCGGTGTTTCGGTTTTCGGTTTTCGGCCTTGGTTTCCTCTTTTTCGGTTTTCGGTTTCGGCCAAGAATTTTCATTTCGGTGCATCCCTAGTATAAATAAATAATCATCCAGAATTATAGCCACGTTAATAACGTTTGTAAATCCGTCATGATTTCAACGAGATAAGAGTATTTCTTACATCAGATACCACAGATCCCGCCAGAAAGCCTGTCTGTGACAAGATGGCCGCCGGTGATGACGATAAATACTCCGCCGTGAGACATCTAGCCTTTATATAGATATCTATGGGCTCACCTATTTAGTTTTTCTTCTTTTGAGGGGTGATCTAAATATTCTCTGCTTGAAATGGATGGAAAATTGTGCTGCATCTCTATGATTCAATGCAGTCTCTCCAATAGCTAAACTGGCGTTTAGTCTTTGGGCCCAGAATCCCAGCCCAGCTGAACAGCCCTGATCTGGTCTTGCTGCTACTTTTTTATTTTAAATTACTCTGACGCAGCATATAGTAGTCACTCACTATTAAACAGGCTTTCCCTTATTTGGTCGAGTTATCCATTGGGCAGCACACCATCTGTACAGAGAGAGAATACTGCCCCTGTGTGGCTGCCTCCACAAGTTACCTTTCACACACAGGCTGGTCCACAAAACTGCTGTATGTGCTGTTATATTTGCTTCCCAGGATGCTTATAATCATGTTTCAGGACAATGTTTGGTGGTCTTAAAACTAGACTCTGTGTGTCTGGGTCGTGAACTCTTGCCCTTGTGTTTGTGTTTCGGTGTGTAGGGGGACCTGAAGAGTTACGTCTCTCAGCATGAATGGCTGTACAGGAATGGAGAACTTCTACAGCTGCAGAAAATGGCCTGCGAGATCGCTGCGGGAGTCACCCACATGCACAAACACAACTTCCTGCACAGGTTAACCCTACAAACTGCTCACTTTACATCTAAAAGATGCATTATGTGTCTCCGTGATTTGACATTGCTCAACCTTTATGCGAACGTCTTACAAGTAGGTTTAATGCAACTCATCGCATCTATCCACATGCATGTGTGTTTTGTTTGTCCAGCCTTTCCTCCTCAGTGCTTGCTGTCCTCGTTTTTTTTCCCCAAAAAAGGCCACAGGGCTGTAAAAGGCAACGTTGCACTTTCATTCTTCCCCTTCCAGTCTTCTAGAGGAAGGTTGAGTTATCTAGGGTGTCTTGCCATGCTGAGCGCGTCTGTACCGTCCTGCATGCTCAGAATATGCTGAAAGGTGTCCGATTGCACAGCTCCTCTGGATTATGGGGTTGTTGGCTGTCCTCCGCCGCTGTGATATGATGATTCTGCGATTTGAGCGTAAGAGGATCCCCTCGTATGGGGCGCGGAGCGTGGGCGGGGTCGTCTGGGATACAACTCCAAAGGAGGCATGGAGATTCCTTGCTGTTGTTGTGGCCGTCATGAAAATACTTGGGCTCTTGGATTTTGGGTTTCAGAGGTGATTTACTGCAAAACGCTGTTTGACACTCCCACTGTGGGCATCTACATGAGCTCGTTCAAAAGCGCTGTGGTATCTTGGGAAATATAGCCATTTCAGCTGCTTTGCATGTCCAAATGCAACTTTTTTTTAGACCGCTCATGTGCTAAAGGCCTGCTGAACCCGGTTTAGAGTCTATTTTTGGGGTCCGAGCATTAAATGAACTCTTTTAACCCCTAGTTTTATGAGTTTTATGCCCAAGAGTATCCAGTATAAGCATCAAAAGAGAAAAGTGCAGAGGCTCTTGGTTGAGTGTCCCACCCACTACTCGGGCAAGTGCACAGACACCCACCCAACATAATGTGGCGCTATAGTAAGGAAGCTGTAAGCTCACTATGAACACTGGCGGTTTTCCACTGCGTGGTACGGCGTGGCTTGCTTTTTGCTTTTCCACTGTGTTGTACGATTCGCCTCGGTTTGCTTTTCCACTGCAGTTTAGTACTGCTTCAAAGTGGGTGGGTGTATAGACTGCTTGTTAAAGTTGCTGGAAAACTTTTTCATTCATAGTCGCAACATCTGCTCTTCGGCGACCAACCAGAGGAACGTCTACACCTCGTCTACTGACCAGTCACCACGATTCAGCCATTTCTTTTTTTTAACAATTTTTTTTTTATACACAAAAAGACGTTTAATACAAATTTTGCAAACAAATAATACTGTGGTGGTTGTTTCTGAACTATTTAAATCTAGGGTTTGATATTTTGTGTTTCAAATCCAATAACACTGGTAGTGATGATTCTCTCTGACCAATCAGTGATCTGTAGTGTTTTCATGTCACATTTTAGTATCTGAACGTACGCTTGGAAACTCAACAGAGGTGGTACCATTTTAAAGTGAGCCTTACCGAACTGTACCAAAAAAAAAAGCGCCAAAAAAGCGGAAAAGCGCCAAAGTGAGCCGTACCGAGCCACGCCAAAGAGAGCCGTACCGAGTCGCGCCAAAGTGAGCCGTACCGAGTCGCGCCAAAGTGAGCCGTACCGAGCCGCGCCAAAGTGAGCCGTACCGAGTCGCGCCAAAGTGAGCCGTACCGAGCCGCGCCATGCAGTGGAAAAGCACCAAAGTGAGCCGTACCGAACCGTAACATGCAGTGGAAAAGCGCCAAAGTGAGCCGTACCGAACCATAACATGCAGTGGAAAAGTGCCAACGTGAGCCGTTCGAACCGTACCATGCAGTGGAAAAGTGCCAACGTGAGCCGTTCGAACCGTAGCATGCAGTGGAAAAGCGCCAACGTAAGCCGTTCGAACCGTACCTAACCGTACTATGCAGTGGAAAAGCACCAAAGTGAGCTGTACTGAACCGAACCATGCAGTGGAAAAGCGCCAACGTGAGCCGTACCAAGCCGTACCATACAGTGGAAAAGTTCCAAAGTGAGCCGTACAGAGCCATACCGAACCGTACCATGCAGTGGAAAAGTGCCAAAGTGAGCCGTACCGAACCATACCATGCAGTGGAAAATCACCAAAGGGAGCCGTACCGAACCGTACCAAACCGTACCATGCAGTGGAAAAGTGCCGAAGTGAGCCGTACCAAACCGTACCATGCAGTGGAAAAGCGCCAAAGTGAGCCGTACCGAACCGTAACATGCAGTGGAAAAGTGCCAACGTGAGCCGTTCGAACCGTACCATGCAGTGGAAAAGCGCCAAAGTGAGCCGTACCGAACCGTACCATGCAGTGGAAAAGCGCCAACATAAGCCCTTCGAACCGTACCTAACCGTACTATGCAGTGGAAAAGCACCAAAGTGAGCTGTACTGAACCGAACCATGCAGTGGAAAAGCGCCAAAGTGAGCCGTACCGAGCCGCGCCTTGCAGTGGAAAAGCGCCAAAGTGAGCCGTACCGAACCGTAACATGCAGTGGAAAAGTGCCAACGTGAGCCGTTCGAACCGTACCCAACCATACCATGTAGTGGAAAAGCGCCAAAGTGAGCCGTACCGAACCGTACCATGCAGTGGAAAAGCGCCAATAGTAGCAGGAATAATTTTACCCCCTGATTTCCTGACGTCTGGCAAATCTCTGTCATGGTGTTTTCCACTTTATTTCAGATTTCTCTCAAAAGAAATCACAGAAATGTTTATATTTTCTTCATTTGAAATGACCCCTGTTTATGGATTTTAGTTAACAATAATAACCCTGGTCTGCACATGTGAATTTTCCATGTATGGCTAAAAGCACTGCTCTGTTTCCCTGTGACCTGCCAACAGTACTGTATTTGCCCCTTTTGCCAAGGGCCAGAGTATCAGGTCTAAAATATCTGTCCATTTATCATGCGGTGGGTTCAGTGAGCACGACTAGAGTCAGCGGTTTCGCAAGAGAGGGTGTAAAAGAGACAAATCAGAAAAGATGGCCAAAGCTGAGCTCAGATCTGCCGTGTTCACAAGCTCAGTTTGAGCGAGACCCCATATGTCCTCCTATCCCACTTACTGCCTAAGTGGGCATATTGTTCCCCCTGGAAACAATATTTCGGTGCTGTTTCCATGTGGATAAGATCCAGCATCACTGTTTTTTTGAAAGTAGGGCTCAACAAAGTAGCCTGTTACTTAGATTTGTTTTTGCCTTGCCAGTGTTTTCACTGACCCTACCTACCTTATTCCCTATCCACTCTGTCAGCATGCACTTATACTGATTGGACTCAAAGTGGATAGAGATGATGACATCTTTGTGATGGGTTTGTAGCCAATTTTCAAACAGTTGATTCCCTGCTAATCTTTTAGTTAGGAGTCCTGCTTTAGGCTGGTTGTAAATGACATGAGAAGGGGGCAAATAGGGACGAAAATCTGGATCACGCAAATTTAATATGATTTTTTTAGTATGTATTCAGTATAGTTGATGCATCACACTACAAGAGAACCTTTTTATATGTGAATGTTTTTTAAAAGCATGCCATGTAATTTTTTTTCTCCTATCACAGTGATTTGGCTTTGAGGAACTGCTATCTCACAACGGACCTTACTGTCAAAGTAGGAGACTATGGCATTGGCCCTACCAGTTTTAAGGTAAAACTTGAAAAAGCATAATTATTATTTTTTTTTATTATTATTTAACATTTTTGTAACATCTTTTTTTTTTCCTTGCAGGAAGATTACATCACCACAGAGGATGACCAATGCGTGGCACTGCGCTGGCTCTCCCCTGAGCTGATTGGTGAGCTGCATGGGGGCTTGATCACATCAGAACAGACTAAACCCAGCAATGTTTGGTAGGTAACTCCAAAATGATAGGTACCTTGCGTTTACTTGTTTAACAGGATGCACTTTTGCAGTCGCGTGTCTTTTTGAAATTAAAAAAAGTATGTAGAGGGAAATGGGAAATGGCGGTAGTGATGTTGTGGCCTCTCACAGCATTCAGAAGATCAGAGCACTCTGTAAGTGAGGTACCACTACACTTGTCGGTTGTAAATGAAAGGTTTTGACTCTTATAGCGTCTATGAATTACTCTGACTGACCAAATAATGGATTGGATGTCAGCCAGTTATTTCATGTGCATATTAGGGGGCCTTAATACAAACATACCCCTCTTTTATATTTATGTTGAATATGGATATTGGATGTTAGTTTAATTTTTGTTACATTAACAAATGACCTGGATTTAAATAAAAAGTTGTATTGTTAATATGCTATAGATGTAATATTACAATTCCATTATTCAATTACTTTATAATGCTACATTATATGTTCATAACTGAACAAGATTTTTGTGTTTTCAGGGCACTGGGTGTGACATTATGGGAGCTGTTTGAAAGTGGAAAGCAGCCATATCCTCTCTTGTCAGATAGAGAAGTGCTTCATCATGTGCTCAAGGATCAACAAGTCAGACTTCTCAAGCCACAACTGGACTTACCATACTCAGAAAGATGGTTAGTCCTTCACAGATTTACAAACAAGATCAGTTTCTCTCTAGAAACGTCTTAACTCTATGCTTTGGTCTACAGGTATGAAGTTCTACAGTTTTGTTGGCTCCCTGCAGACAAGAGGGCCACTGCTGAAGAAGTCCACCGCCTGCTCACTTATCTCCGTATGCAGGGTCAAAAAGATGTGGAGGATGACTTCGAGCAGCGCTGGAGCTCTCTCAAACCCAATCCTACTACTCGTCAAGCCACCGTCAGTCATTCCTCCTTCCCCATCCTGGAACAGTTTGATGACGGCCGAGAACCAGACGAGGTGCTCACAGTCACCGAAACGAGTCGTGGACTAAGTTTTGAATATGTGTGGGAGGCAGCCAAGCATGACCACTATGACAACCACAATCGTTCTGCCTTGGACACTACTTTGAATTACCACAGTATGTTCTTTCCAGTGCCACGGCAGGACATTCAGGCTCATTTCCCTGACACTGTAGCGCAAGCAGAAGATGGCAGAGTCCCGGAAACCTTGCCAGTTTTTGATGCACACAAAGCATCCTCTGGAAATGACTATTTTATTAAGTTGGAGGAGCTAGATGAGAGTGAAATTGGGATGGAGGAAAGTCAGGGTGCTGAAGGTACCAATGCTTCGGAGCAAGATCAGTTTGTAGTCTTACAGGATGTCCGATTGGATGAATCCAGCACAGATGCTGATTTCTTTCATCAGAGCATTGACTCAAAAGACTCTTTCCTTCAGGACAGCCACATATGGTCCTCGAGTGAACATGATAGCCCTTACCATACTAACATTTTCAGTGAGGGTGATGCAAAACTGGAAGATTCTCATTCATTCAAGGGAGGTTTCATGGAGCTCCCAGAGATGAATGTACCGAAGAGGGATTCTGAGGGTGAAACTAATAGTAATGAGGCAAGTAAATCTTTTTTAGGGGTTGGACCAGAAGCCATTCATCTGGACATCTCCGATACGGACAGTTCAGATGTAATGATGCTTCTTAACACTGAGAAACTGGCTGACAACTTCTTATTTCTTAAAGATAACAGCCTAATGAAGGACAAGTCTGCGCTTTCACAGCCCGACTCAAAAAATATAGAGGAGACCATGAGCTCCATTGTTGAGACGGATGTCTCAGATAGTGTAAACCTTACAGGTGACTCTTTGAAATCAGCTGTGAATTCTACGCAGCTGAAGGATGAATTCTTGGACTTAGTCAGCCCGATTTTAGAAGATTTTCTGTCGCCTTTGAAAGGAAATGAAACAATGGTGCCTTTTGATATTTTAGTAACAGGACAGACCTGTAGCAACCACCTGCCAGACTCAAATGGCTCTTTGCATTCCCCAAAATCTGGGATTTACTCCTCTTCCGAGTCTACCTCGAGTGTTGAGGTCATTGTTGACAGTCCATCTAAAAGTCATCAGTTCCTTGAAAGTGCCACTACAGATACACTGCATATGTGCATAGATGCCAAACCCCCCAGACTTGAAGAATGCTTTGGAGCCTCAAAGGAGAATGGGCAGTATAAAGGAATCATAGACACAGCTGTGCTTAGCTTTACTACTTCACCTGTTGGTGAATGTACAGAAGGTGGCCTCACTGAAGGTCTAACAAGTAGTGACTCAATGAGTGATATAATGGAACTAGATAAGAAGACCGCCAAGGATATTGCACTCTTAGAAGCCATCGACCAAGATCAAGAAGCTTTATTGGACAACCATGTAACTCAGGACATGTCCTCACTGTTGGTTTCAGACTCCTGTCTTGACCAAATAAGTCAGGACAGCCTTCTCGATGATAGCACCTTATCCACTCTTCCAACCATTGAGAATTTGGCTGAAACGCCAGACTCTTTAGATTCTTTGGACATGCATAGGGATGTGGTGCATGGACAGTCATCGGAAAATCCTGTAAATAATAAGCTTCAACCCCCATACAAAGCCGCTGACAGTGGGTATGAAACAGAGAACTTGGAGTCCCCCGAGTGGAACTCTCAAACAGGCTTGAGGGATTCCTCTGAAGAGAATGAGATGAGTAGTGCCAGGGAGCCTATGGCCCTTGTTCCACCGGAAATCGTTGTGTCTGAGGTGGACAGTGTACCTGACGTTCAGGTAAATGCTGGTGGAGTTGATCACCAACAAGAACTTGGTGAAGTCCCCTTGGGAGGAAACTACAGAGACTCTGCTTACTTCTCAGACAATGAGGAACTAGATAAAAAGAGTGATGACATTGGTGGAAGCAGCCCCGGAGATGCCTCGTTTTGGCTCCAGGGTAATCGAGAAGCTGGCGAAAGTCAAGGAGCCGAAGCTGTTGGGGAGCATTCGGTGTCCGAGATATCCCTTCAATCTGCAGGTCCTACTTTAGAATCAACTGATGGTGATGTGCAGACTCCTTTGCCTGAGTTGGTTCTCACCACTGAGGAAGATTGGAGCCAGGATAAACCATTGACTGTTGACGACTTGGACCATACTGATCCCCATGCAGCCCCAGAACATGCAGCAACACCACCTACCTCAATGCAGCCCTCAACAGACGTCAAGGTCCATGCAAAGCTTACAAGGACATACGCTGGGGAGGGAACAAAGAAAAAAGAGCCAGATATGGAGGGGAGGTACTTAGGAAAGCTCGATGGATCCTCAGTGGAATATGGCACTGAGGATGGAATGGATGCTGATGAAGAAGATGAGAACAGTGATGAGTCGGATGACGATATGCGTGCCTACCGATTACACAGCTCTAGCTCTGAGTGCAGTGAGGATGAAGTTGTGCACCCGGTACCCGTTATCATCTCGGACAACAGCAGTTCCCTCAGCCTCAAAAGCTTACTGAAACCCAAATCCCTTCAGACTGCTAAAGCAACATCAGAAGAGGGCAGTGATGGAATTAATAGACGTGGCGTGTCGTTCTTTGATGACGTCACTGTCTACCTTTTTGACCAGGTCAGATGTTTCCCTTGCATTCTTAAATCTTTTTAAGTACAACTCAATTATTTCTTTAAGAGAGGCTTTTTCTATGCCTGATTCCCTGTTTTTCAACCAAATAGGAAACCCCAACAAAGGAGCTTGGTGAGCATACTCTTGACCCCAGTAGTCAATTGTCTGATTTCAACAGTCCAGTGTCGTCCTCCAGCTACTTTAATAGATTTACCAACTCTGAGAGCTCCACCGATGAAGAAGGTAATGACTAATGTTAATCGCTTCTTTACGGGCATCAGTGTTTCCCAACCGTGGTCCTGGACCCCTCCAAAAAGTGCACTTTTTGGAGGTTATCATTATCTGACTCACCCATTTGAGGTCTCATGTACCCCTTTTCCACCAAAAAAGAGCTGGTTCGGAACTGGTGCTGGTTCAAAGTTGGTTCTGAGTTTGTTCAACTTGCGAACCTTTTCAGAACCTGTTTGTTTTTCCACTGATTAGAGCGCCCAGGGAACGACGTCGCCATTCCGTAAGCATGACGTGGTTAAAGAACGGTTCTAGTCCAGCAAAGAGTTGGTGCCGCTTTGGAACCTGTTTTCCTGGCCGAGAACTGGTTCTTTGGCTGTAGAAACACAAAGAACTGGTTTCAGCTCCGAACCGGCTTTAAAAATGCTTTGGTGGAAAAGAGGTAATGTTGTTCCCCAATTCCTCTTATATGACATTAAACATTACATCCTCTAAATGTAATGTACTCTTTTTAAGAAGAACAAATAGATACTTTTGAGTGTGTTGCAGAAGGCAAGATTTTGGGACATACTACCATGTCTTAAAATTGTCCTTTGTCGCATAGTGACCTGCATTCTGTCATCATAAATGTAGCCTGTTGCAGTTTACATCCTCATATGCACACTCCACATTCATTAACACTACTAAAACAATTCTTTCTGCCACATCAGAGACATAGGTCTGCTAGTTGTGGGTATTTCATGCTGAGAGCTTTTTTGCATAATGATGCATTTAATAGTGGCCAAACATTTCTGCTTTACTATTGTGCTATATTTATTAAAGTTTACAATGTTTTCCTGATGAAATATAACATAATTTTTAGGCTAGATGTTCTAAATAACTCAAACCCTTTTCAAGCCATCTCTACTTAACCATCGGTCTTAGGCACATCTGCCTTGCTTGTTCTTTTTATTTGGCTGTACTTCTGAACTGAATCCTCGTCATCTTCCCCTCTTAGGCCGTGTGTCCACCAAAGCGTTTTTCCACGCGCATGGCGTATGTTTTCAATTGGTTTCAATGGGAACGCCGCGTTTTTTAAACGGCATGAGCATAACGAGGCGGTGAACGTTTTTTTACATTTTTTTTACTGGTCGCCAAGAGTTGAAAAATGTTCAACTTTGGATAAAACGCAGCGCTCATCACTGTCACTTTTTACCCACCCGTCCAATCACAGTGGAGGAGGGGCGGGACTAAACCACACCGACCAACTGTCACAACATTCTTTCTGTACAACGACATCAACCAGCAGAGCTAACCGAACAAAATGGATACATTTTTTTTCGTATGAAACAAATGATCTGCAAAATCAGTTTCAAGTAAACTGTGCTGCGGATATTCTGTATCATAGCAACGAAACGTCTCAACGGAAAAAACGCTGCGCTGCCAAAGCGCTCTCAAGCGCCCAAAGCACAGCGTCTTCAGCAGAGCGTCTGGCGTTTTCAGCTGGCAAAAAACACTTTGGTGGACTTCTGTACTTTTCAACTGAATCCTCCTTAAAGCTCAATGGGTTGTGGGCAAAGTCAACCGTTAGAATGGGCACAGATCCACACTACAAAAATCTACCAAAAACAATAGACCACCGTTACATTTGCCGTACCCTTTTCAACATACTATTTTTTGGGACACTCATTTCACATTTTACTATTTGTGATGGAAAGTATGCACATTGGGATGCAGGGTGGGAGTCTCTATTAATGAGCCAATGAGTTCACTCAGGTGTGTCCGATTGAGGAGGCGTTCAAAATATGCAGTGTGGCGGATACTCCATGACTGTGGTTGGCAAGCATGGTCTACATTTGAACTGTGAACCCATTAAACCAGTGGTACTTAGGCCGTGCTTCACCAAAGCGTTTTTAGCCAGCTGAAAACGCTAGACGCTCTGCTGAAGACGCCGTGCTTTGGGCGCTTGAGAGCGTTTTGGCAGCGCAGCGTTTTTTCGGTTGAGGCAGAATATCCACAGCAGTTGAATGTTGTGACAGTTGGTCGGTGTGGTATTAGTCCCGCCAATATTTTATCCAAAGTTGAACATTTTTCAACTCTTGGCGACCAGTAAAAAATGGTGCGCGCTCGGCGCTTCAGCGTGAAAAAAACGCTCAGCGCCTCGGTAAGCTCATGGCGTTTAAAAAACGCGGCGCTCCCATTGAAAACATACGCCAGGCGCGTGGAAAAACGCTTTGGTGGACACACGGCCTTAACCTAAGGCCAATCAGAAACCAAATTGGTGTCTCTGCGAATTAAATTCTTTTAAATTGACATGTCATCAAAGAGCCATGGTTGACTTTAAACCTCTGGATTTGATTCACAGGTGGCGCATTTGAGTGGGATGATGACTTCCCATCTCCAGAACCCAATTTTCTTGCAAAAGCAGCCAGTGATCATTCTGCCAGTCGGTCCAGTGGGACCTCGGCAGCTTCTAAGTATTTGTCACCACCCCCTGCGAACCGCACCTTGGAGCAGAGCTGGAACAGTCCCTCCAACTACACGCGCTTCTCCATCTCGCCAGCCAGCATCGCCAGCTTCTCCCTCACCCACCTCACAGACTCCGACATTGAACAAGGGGGTAAGTTGGACACAAACATCCACGTGTCAATGGCACCCCAAGAATCTTAACCTCTGAATCCTGTTTCTCGTTTTCTTTCGCAGGAAGTGGTGAAGATGGAGAGAAAGATTAACTAATCTTTTGGAGACTGTATATGTGACGGATATATTTGCTTCGAAGGTTTTGATTGCTTCTCAGGCAGCATTGGTATTTATTTGAGGTTATGAAGGGGATTGCACATGAGATATGATTTGCATTGTTTTTCATCAGTGCAAACTTTGCTTCACATATGCTTTAGAAACTTTCACGCGCTTCCCAAGTGTCCTGCCTCACTTTTTTTTTCTCCTTTTGCTCGTATGCATTACTTCTTAGTGTCCACATTTTACTTCAAAAGGATGAAGCTGAAATCGTATCGTTTAACCAGAGGAGTCCCTCTTAAACACTAATGAGCCAATCGACTCAAACTCACTTGTGCAATTGAAACCGTACAATACTTGCCTTTTATTTTAACACACTGGATTTTTTTATTTTTTTTTTAAAATGTGAAATCTAGTGTGACTTGCTTATTTATATGATTGTGTATCGGGTTAGATGTCCAATAGAAGCTGTATGGGTCTCTCCATAGATATTTTTGTACAGTGTTTGGACCGTTGATTCATGACAACGCACCACTTTCACCCAAGCGACAAATTTCATAGTTCCAGTGACATGTTTTGTATTACATGATGTAAAAGTCAGGATATGAGCAGCTGAGACGCTAATAAGTCTTAAAGTAGTGAGCAGTCATTGTGGTCGATTCATGAGGAAGTCTTATGGAGTGCTGCATATCAGGGCTTTTTGTTGAAGCTTTGTGGGATTGTGTATTGAATGGGCCGTCGCAGTGCCTCACAGCCCCTCTCCTCCCGTGTCTTCATCCTTGCTGAATGTTGTGCAAGTTTTGGGGATTCTCACCCATCTAGAACATACCAAGGTCACATTTCACCTCAAAATCAAAAGAAAGAAAAGTAGATTTCGCCAGAAAATTAAGCCTTTTTTTGGGATCAGTAAGACTTTTTCATTGTGGAATAATTTCAATGTGAAAATAAGTAATGATATTATATTTCAATTGTAAAGTGTTATTACAATGGTAGTTTTGTCTTACCGATTTAAAATGCTAATGATACTAATAGATATTTTGCAAATATATATATTTCTCTAGATTTTGGATTGAAATGTGACCCAGACATTTTTTTTTGTGAGATTCACTTTGACTGTGGATTGATCTACAAGTTAATTCTGAACGGTGTCGCAGAGAGACTAGCTCGCAACTAGCAGGACTTCCAGGTGACGGCTGCTTGCGAGCATCGAGTAGGAATACTGTTCAATGGAAAAACAAAAGAACCTCCTTACATTTCTGATTCCCTGTGTTCACTTTAAAAAGCAGCTTGTAAACACTCAAGGGATTGGAAATGATTTAGTTTTTCCTCTTTTGTGCATGTATTATTCATTGGACCTGAAAGTCATAGGCCAGTCTTGCTGCTCCGAATGCTTTTCCTTTGGGTTGACGATGAACCCGATCGACTAATGTATATAGCCTTGTAATGTATATTACCTTGTATCAAATCAAGGTGAAAACCACACAATCGGAGGAAAGCACGTTCGACATCGCCGGTTCAATCTGGAAGAACGTTGACTTTTGCTATGACATACTTAAGATTGTCTTGCATAAATTGGGAGGCTGGTCATTTGTAAAGGTTATTGCTGGAATAATCGGGTTCATAGCTTCTACTTCCCCTTGTAATTCAGTAGAGTAATCTCTTGTTTTAGACCCGTTGAATATCTGTATTACCAGCACTCAATCGAAATTTTATGAAAGGAAATTGTTTTATTCTACAGTATACTTTGCTTAATCTTGCACATCTTTAAAGTGAAACTTAATGTTGAGTTGTTCTCCTGTATATAAATGTTTAATTTTGTCTGTAAATTGGGTATGATGTTAGGAATAGGTATGAGGACTGATTTTTTTTGTAATTTAATGCTAAAATGTGACATCACAGGTGAGAAGTGATCGAAAAAGACAAATTAACGATGGAATAAATGGGGAAATGCAGGTCATCATGTCCTTGTAACTTGTACATTTTAAAAAATGGTGATATTTTTACTTCATATTGATGACGATGATCATGCCTAGTGTCATTGAAGGAATGGTTTATAATGAATTGCTCTGTTTATTATGGAATTAAATGAAAATTAACTTCTGTCTTATATTATTTCTGTCGTGCGTTTTTCACACATGCTTTTATTCAGTGGTTCAAGCAATGGTGCGAGTTTGGGGAAGGTGTGTCAGACCAAGATAAGATGGGGTAGGATTTAGAAAATCTGTTTATTTTTTTATTTTTGAAATTTTGCTTGGTGGTAAAGACATTTCTTTACTTGAATTCGCAAAGATAAAAACAAGCTGGTGCTTTTTTAACAGTTCTTTATTGGAAAAGAAAGACCACAGTAGGGAAGTTAAAGTCAACAGCGTTGTCTACTTAAGTGGACTCCAGGATTTCGCGGGCCTTTTTTGTGATTGTTGCGGCCTAAAATGCCTGATGTTGCGGCCGCTTTTTTAAAAAGTTGCGATGTTCTTCTGCATGTTTTTATAGGTTAAAACGGCAAAGATAGATAGATTTTTACTTAAAATGCCCATATTATGCTTTTTGGCTTTTCCCCTTTCCTTTATTGTGTTGTTATATTTTTTGTGCAGGTTTACTAAGAGAGAAAAGTCCAAAGTCCACCCCAAAGGGACTTATTATGTCCCACAGAAAACACTGTTCATCATCTGCATCTGCTCTATTGTAGTCCAGAATTGACTTAAGAGACAAAGTCACACACTTTGTAACACACGAACAAACTAACTAACCATTAGTAACAGTAAAGGCAAAACAAACGATTTAAAGACACAGAAAAAACCTAACAAACTAAGCTTCTTTTTTTTTAAACAAGATCTGCACCTGCAAAAAAGTCAATGTGCAGAACCTCACAAACATTAAGCAGCATTTATGTTGAAAGATGCCAATACTAATAAAGTGCAAAATACAGTTTTAGGAATAGCCACTAAAGTTAAATGGTGGAAAAACCAAATGTTTGATAATGTATTTTAATATAGCTAATATAATATAGTATAGCCGCATATCCAATAAAGCTTAATTTTTTTTTTTGTCAGACAATAGAACGAGTCGGCTAGCTATTTTTTATGTGTAAAATTTTCTGAATTGAGAGAGTTCGGGAACTGGGTGAACTAATGCACTGTGATAGTGAGTAGCCTATTACAAGTGATAAACACAAGAAAAGAAAGGAAAATAAAATGGTCAAACTCAATTCTTTAAATATAAAACAAAAGAGAAGCAGATAAGTGATAAGTCCGTGGAAACAACACTGCTCATTCGCGTCTGTCAGCTGCCGTGCTGCTCCTCTACAGCAGCCGTTCACTGAACAGGGACGAAGAGAGAGGTGTGACGGCAGGGAGAAAGCAAACCTCGCGCTCGCTGGCAACATTTGGTTACTGAGGTTTGTCCAAAAAGCCGCTAGATTTGTCTCTTATATCACTAAATATAGCGACAAAGACTAAGTTGGCAACATTGGCCTTTTCTGTTATTTTTGTAGGTAGCCTAAATGTGAGACGTTGGCAGTCCACATCTGCTGCGTCTTCTGAACAAAACAAGTGAGTTTGCTGACGTATGACGACGCTTTGCAGGAGACCGCGGCGCGATGATTCGTCAAAGTTGCAGAAAAGTTGCGGTGATTTTTCAAAATTGCAAGGCGCCCTGAATTCACGTGGATTTGTTGAAGTTGCGTTAATAGTTGCGATCGCGACATCGCGAAATCCTGGAGGGACTGAATAATATAATCAAACCAATAACATAAAATGGGCTTCTACCGATTACAGAAACAAATACGGCAACAAGAAAATATGACAAAATGACATCAGGTGATTCAAATCATACATGTACAGAAATCAAAAGAAGATCAGTTTGTTATTCAGGCAATCAAAAGAAGAAGAAAAACAGTCCCATTTGGGTGGAAGGGCACTGGGCAGAGACAGGATGGGTGTTAAGAACAACAAGCTGGGACGTGGAGTCAAGCATGATGAAGGTGATGATGATGGGGGTATTGTGTGAGTAGCAGAATGACTAGCAGCTCACAGCATTCCCGTTCACCTGACTCTGAGTCCGGCTGGGCATTGGACTGCGCACTGCCACCCGCTGCGCCTCTAAAGAGTTCCCTCTCACCGACAGGTGGTCCCAGCCGCCCTGTTGAAGAAGTGACTGTGTAAAGGTATGTTGACACCAGCTCTGTTGACACCAGCTTAGACCTTGTGTAACTTTTGCAGAAATTATACAGCATTTTACAATTGGAGGCTTTCGGGGGAAGGCACAATTCAGCATTAGACTTAACCCTCTGAGGTCTAGGGTGTATTTGGGGTCCTTGAGATATTTTGAGATGCCCCGACATTTGTGCTTTTTTCAGTTATGGCACAGGTGTAATTACACTATGTTTAGCACAAAAAAGGGCTACCATAATATGTGAGCAACATGTATGTAAATGTTTGTATTTTTGAGAGAATATTGTTTATGCGAGGTTATTGAAAAAACTAAAATGAAAGTTTCTGAAATAAGGCCACAAAACACATACGAAATATGCGTCCACAAGACCTAGAGTTTTTTTCTTCAAAATGATCTGAAAATCGTCCTCCTAATCGTTCACATAAAACTGTGAATTGGGTTATATTGTGAAAAACATTTTTTGTTTGCCAAGGCAATATGCGAATGGGCGTGAACAGGCCAGCCCTCATCATGTATAATTAGGTGAGTCTCACATGAGAGACAAAGACACATATATGTATGTATAAAATCATAATATAAATGAAAGTCAAAAACCCATTTTTAGTCATACCTGGAAACAAATCCTGGTTTATATGGGCCATTGTGTAAAATTGGTTCAAAGTTGGAAACATCTTAAAAAGAAATAATTTTTTCCATATAAAGGATTATTTTTAAAGTAGGCCAATACGGTTTATTCATATTTCAAAGTTAAGGATTCATCATTTTGATATTTTGATTTTGTATAACAGTTGATTTGTTTATTTTTGACAAAACATACTATATATTTAACATATGAGCAGAAACTGTCTTAACCAAAGCTTATTTGATGTCTTATTTTATAGTAAAAACTTTATAATCTATTTCGTCTGTAACAGTAGGCTATGAATAGTGTCTAAACTGCACAAAGACTTTAAATATTAAAAATATTAAATGCGTGCAGATATGCGCACGCTGTGCGTTCATTCACTCTCGCTCCTACATTAGTAAGACTATATAGACTACTGAGATTTGTTCTATACTGATCTGTAAACCAAAAAGACTGTTTAAATATGAATCGGATGTTACAGTTCATTTTTCAGATGCGTTTCAGAAAGATTTTTGCGGAGACCGAGTGAGCTGAAAACGCACCGTTTATTTTATTTATTTTACAAAAACACAAGGTTTTTACGTTAATAAGAATGTACACAAAAAAGAAGACCCTTTATAGTTTATAATCATGAATTGATTTTATTTATATGACCATTAATGACGGAGTATTTTAAGTCTATGTTGCAGCTATGAGAAAAAAAACGATCAAAACGCGGTGATGCGTTTTTGGTCCTCAGGGGTTTAAAGGGGTGGTTTAATGCCCCTTTTTACCATAAGTAAATTAAGTCTCTGTTGTCCTCAGAGTGTGTGTGTGTGTGTTTTTGAAGTTTTAGCAAAAAATACCCCTCAGATCATTTTTACAGCATGTTAAAATTGTCCCTTTTTGAGGGTCAGTTAAAGACGCATTGTTTCGTGTGTGTCCCTTTAAACGCAAATTAGATGCTGCTCCTGGCACAGAGGGCGGAGCTTCAAGAACTTGTGTGTGTGTAGCTGTGATTACCTCACGCAGACATACTAAAAGGTCAGAAACTGTTCTGCCTTTTATGTTTAAACTGGAGTCGGACAATGATGGAGAGACTGAATGGTTAGTTGATGAATTTATGTTGCTGAGGTGGAGTTAACTATCTTCAATTAGCATATTCTGCCATGATAATCTATAAAGTGCTTGTGTGGGAACTGTTGTGAGATGCACACGTATGGCATGTGAAAGACGGATGCGATAGCTTGAGCAGACGCACAAATGTGCACAACTACAACAACTCTTCCTCTTTTCAACATGCAGTGCATTCTGGGGCCGGGCTTATGTCAATTTTAGGGTTGGTGATGTCACTAACCCGGGAGGAAGTTCGTGTAGTCCCTACCAGCCGTTTGTTGTAGTCCTTAAAGAACGATTTCTTTAAAAGAAAATATCCCCCTTTGCTTTGAACTTTGCAGAAGTTGTTTATGCTCAAACAGCAACATTACACACTAACTAAAGTCAGAAAAGTGAAATCATAATCAACCAGCCCTTTAATGTGAACAGTTATGGAAAGACTCACCCCAATACCGAAGTCCCAGCTCAGGCCTTTCGGCTGCATGGGCTTCACTCCCAGTCTGTGGCATACAGTTCCTGAGCTTTCTAATGGATAACCTGGCACTTTATCAGCTATTATCCAAACCTGGACAGATAAAACATCACAACCAGTTTCACAACCATCAAAACGCATTTTTTCAGTCAAGTTGTTATTTTATATTTAGGTTTGTTAGGGGGGATCTGGGCCTGATGGGAGTTGATAAACCTCAGGAGGAGCAACCCAAGGTGTAGTAGATGGAGGAAAGGTTATGTCTAAAGTAACAGTGGTAAAAGGAAACAATAACTCCCACACACAGAGATGGAGAAGGTGCAGCGTATACAAGAACAACAACAAAGGGCCTAAGACAGAGCCTTGTGGAACGACATACTTTATTTAGGTCAGGTGACTATAATTAACACATATGAAGTGGAAGTGATCTGGTAGGATTTAAACCAGGCCGAAGAATATTAACTCTTTCCCCGCCACCCACCAACACCATTTTTTTTTTTACAAAACTTTCATGGCCCCCAGAATATTTTGTTGGATATCAACAATATAATATCAATATTATTTTGAATATCAACATACAATATATCAAACAAAAGAACAGAGCCTCTACTTTTAAGCTACAAAAACACTATTGTGCTTCATGCTTTTATTTTTTTTAAATCAACACTTGAATGTGGGTGTTTCATAAAAAAAAGCAACATTTTGAACAAAAGCTGAGAAAATCGTGGGTTTTTTTTCATGCATGAGCATGAAAAATGGAGGCTCTAGACCCTTCCAGAGCTGAGATATCGAAACTCAAAAATTCGACCCGAAAAAAACAACAACAGTGGTACCCCTTTCGTTTTGTTTTTTTTCGGGCGAAAAATTAAGTTTCTCCAATCTTCTCAAAACTCTGGATTCTGATAGAGGGCCATGAGACTTAGACCTGAGTGCAAAAATGGAGGCTCTAGACCCTTCCAGAGCTGAGATATCGAAACTCAAAAATTCGACCGAAAAAAAAAAAGACAGTGGTACCCCTTTCGTTTTTTTTTTTCGGGCGAAAAATTAAGTTTCTCCAATCTTCTCAAAACTCTGGATTCTGATAGAGGGCCATGAGACTTAGACCTGAGTGCAAAAATGGAGGCTCTAGACCCTTCCAGAGCTGAGATATCGAAACTCAAAAATTCGACCCGAAAAAAAAAAGACAGTGGTACCCCTTTCGTTTTTTTTTTTCCGGGCGAAAAATTAAGTTTCTCCAATCTTCTCAAAACTCTGGATTCTGATAGAGGGCCATGAGACTTAGACCTGAGTGCAAAAATGGAGGCTCTAGACCCTTCCAGAGCTGAGATATCGAAACTCAAAAATTCGACCCGAAAAAAAAAAGACAGTGGTACCCCTTTCGGTTTTTTTTTTTTCGGGCGAAAAATTAAGTTTCTCCAATCTTCTCAAAACTCTGGATTCTGATAGAGGGCCATGAGACTTAAACCTGAGTGCAAAAAAGGAGGCTCTAGACCCTTCCAGAGCTGAGATATCGAAACTCAAAAATTCGACCCGAAAAAAAAAAACGACAGTGGTACCCCTTTCGGGTTTTTTTTCGGGCGAAAAATTAAGTTTCTCCAATCTTAACAAAACTCTGGATTCTGATAGAGGGCCATGAGACTTAGACCTGAGTGCAAAAATGGAGGCTCTAGACCCTTCCAGAGCTGAGATATCGAAACTCAAAAATTCGACCCGAAAAAAAAAACGACAGTGGTACCCCTTTCGTTTTTTTTTTTTTGGGCGAAAAATTAAGTTTCTCCAATCTTCTCAAAACTCTGGATTCTGATAGAGGGCCATGAGACTTAGACCTGAGTGCAAAAATGAAGGCTCTAGACCCTTCCAGAGCTGAGATATCGAAACTCAAAAATTCGACCCGAAAAAAAAAAACGACAGTGGTACCCCTTACGTTTTTTTTTTTGGGCGAAAAATTAAGTTTCTCCAATCTTCTCAAAACTCTGGATTCTGATAGAGGGCCATGAGACTTAGACCTGAGTGCAAAAATGGAGGCTCTAGACCCTTCCAGAGCTGAGATATCGAAACTCAAAAATTCGACCCGGAAAAAAAAACGACAGTGGTACCCCTTCGTTTTTTTTTTTTGGGAAAAATTAAGTTTCTCCAATCTTCTCAAAACTCTGGATTCTGATAGAGGGCCATGAGACTTAGACCTGAGTGCAAAAATGGAGGCTCTAGACCCTTCCAGAGCTGAGATATCGAAAATCAAAATTTCGACCAGAAAAAAAAAACGACAGTGTTACCCCTTACGTTTTTTTTGGGGGGCGAAAAATTAAGTTTCCTCCAATCTTCTTGAAACTCTGGATTCTGATAGAGGGCCATGAGACTTAACCTGAGTGCAAAAATGGAGGCTCTAGACCCTTCCAGAGCTGAGATATCGAAAATCAAAATTTCGACCGAAAAAAAAAACGACAGTGTTACCCCTTACGTTTTTTTTTTGGGGCGAAAAATTAAGTTTCCCAATCTTCTTGAAAACTCTGGATTCTGATAGAGGGCCATGAGACTTAGACCTGAGTGCAAAAATGGAGGCTCTAGACCCTTCCAGAGCTGAGATATCGAAACTCAAAATTTCGACCAGAAAAAAAAAACGACAGTGTTACCCCTTACGTTTTTTTTTTTGGGCGAAAAATTAAGTTTCCCCAATCTTCTCAAAACTCTGGATTCTGATAGAGGGCCATGAGACTTAGACCTGAGTGCAAAAATGGAGGCTCTAGACCCTTCCAGAGCTGAGATATCGAAACTCAAAATTTTCGACCAGAAAAAAAAACGACAGTGTTACCCCTTACGTTTTTTTTTTTTGGGCGAAAAATTAAGTTTCCCAATCTTCTCAAAACTCTGGATTCTGATAGAGGGCCATGAGACTTAGACCTGAGTGCAAAAATGGAGGCTCTAGACCCTTCCAGAGCTGAGATATCGAAACTCAAAATTTCGACCAGAAAAAAAAACGACAGTGTTACCCCTTACGTTTTTTTTTTTGGGCGAAAAATTAAGTTTCCCCAATCTTCTTGAAACTCTGGATTCTGATAGAGGGCCATGAGACTTAGACCTGAGTGCAAAAATGGAGGCTCTAGACCCTTCCAGAGCTGAGATATCGAAACTCAAAATTTCGACCAAAAAAAAAAAACGACAGTGTTACCCCTTACGGTTTTTTTTTGGGCGAAAAATTAAGTTTCTCCAATCTTCTCAAAACTCTGGATTCTGATAGAGGGCCATGAGACTTAGACCTGAGTGCAAAAATGGAGGCTCTAGACCCTTCCAGAGCTGAGATATCGAAACTCAAAATTCGACCAAAAAAAAACGACAGTGGTACCCCTTTCGTTTTTTTTTTCGGGCGAAAAATTAAGTTTCTCCAATCTTCTCAAAACTCTGGATTCTGATAGAGGGCCATGAGACTTAGACCTGAGTGCAAAAATGGAGGCTCTAGACCCTTCCAGAGCTGAGATATCGAAACTCAAAAATTCGACCCGAAAAAAAAAAACAGTGGTACCCCTTACGTTTTTTTTCGGGCGAAAAAATTAAGTTTCTCCAATCTTCTCAAAACTCTGGATTCTGATAGAGGGCCATGAGACTTAGACCTGAGTGCAAAAATGGAGGCTCTAGACCCTTCCAGAGCTGAGATATCGAAACTCAAAAATTCGACCGAGAAAAAAAACGAAACAGTGGTACCCTTACGTTTTTTTTTTGGGCGAAAATTAAGTTTCTCCAATCTTCTTAAAACTCTGGATTCTGATAGAGGGCCATGAGACTTAGACCTGAGTGCAAAAATGGAGGCTCTAGACCCTTCCAGAGCTGAGATATCGAAACTCAAAAATTCGACCCGAAAAAAAAAAACGAGTGTTACCCCTTACGTTTTTTTTTTTGGGCGAAAATTTAGGTTTCTCCAATCTTCTTGAAACTCTGCATTCTGATAGAGGGCCATGAGACTTAGACCTGAGTGCAAAAATGGAGGCTCTAGACCCTTCCAGAGCTGAGATATCGAAACTCAAAATTTTCGACCCGAAAAAAAAAACGACAGTGGTACCCCTTACGTTTTTTTTTTTTTGGGGCGAAAAATTAAGTTTCCCCAATCTTCTCAAAACTCTGGATTCTGATAGAGGGCCATGAGACTTAGACCTGAGTGCAAAAATGGAGGCTCTAGACCCTTCCAGAGCTGAGATATCGAAACTCAAAATTTCGACCAAAAAAAAAAAAACGACAGTGGTACCCCTTACGTTTTTTTTTTTTGGGCGAAAAATTAAGTTATCCCATCTTCTGAAACTCTGGATTCTGATAGAGGGCCATGAGACTTAGACCTGAGTGCAAAAATGGAGGCTCTAGACCCTTCCAGAGCTGAGATATCGAAACTCAAAAATTCGACCCAAAAAAAAAACGACAGTGTACCCCTTTCGTTTTTTTTTTTGGGCGAAAAATTAAGTTTCTCCAATCTTCTCAAAACTCTGGATTCTGATAGAGGGCCATGAGACTTAGACCTGAGTGCAAAAATGGAGGCTCTAGACCCTTCCAGAGCTGAGATATCGAAACTCAAAAATTCGACCCGAAAAAAAAAAAACAGTGGTACCCCTTACTTTTTTTTTTGGGCGAAAAATTAAGTTTCTTAAATCTTCTCAAAACTCTGGATTCTGATAGAGGGCCATGAGACTTAGACCTGAGTGCAAAAATGGAGGCTCTAGACCCTTCCAGAGCTGAGATATCGAAACTCAAAAATTCGACCCGAAAAAAAAAAACGACAGTGGTACCCCTTTCGTTTTTTTTTTGGGCGAAAAATTAAGTTTCTCCAATCTTCTTAAAACTCTGGATTCTGATAGAGGGCCATGAGACTTAGACCTGAGTGCAAAAATGGAGGCTCTAGACCCTTCCAGAGCTGAGATATCGAAACTCAAAAATTCGACCCGAAGAAAAAAAACGACAGTGGTACCCCTTACGTTTTTTTTTTTGGGCGAAAAATTAAGTTTCTCCAATCTTCTCAAAACTCTGGATTCTGATAGAGGGCCATGAGACTTAGACCTGAGTGCAAAAATGGAGGCTCTAGACCTTCCAGAGCTGAGATATCGAAACTCAAAAATTCG